ATATAAGATATAAGATATAAGATATAAGATATAAGATATAAGATATAAGATATAAGATATAAGATATAAGATATATAAGATATAAGATATATAAGATATAAGATATAAGATATAAGATATAAGATATATATATCAAGGACCTTCTGTGCATGCATGCTCCCACTACCAAACTGGTAGTGAAGATAATAGGATACCATTACTGGTGCAATGAATATATTGACCAAGATGATAGTTATGAGTCAGATTGCTTTTGATCTGTGTCTATCTTCAGTGAGGTCATTTTAGCATTAATCTGCTTTTTCATACTTGTACCAATAAAGATTCATTGTGTTGTCTTAATTTATTGCAAGGTTTTTTTGTTTGTTTGCCTTCTTCAGGTTCTTAATCAAACATCCCGGCTTGAAATCCAACTGCTGGAAAATTCCTTATCTACTTACAAGCTGGAGAAACAATTGCTCCAACAGACCCATGAAATCTTGAAAATCCATGAGAAAAACAGGCGAGTATAAAATGAATGACCTTTGAATGTTTCACTCTTATAGTCTTCACTTCAATCTCTAAAGTGAGATGTTTGCTTCCAGAGCATGCTGGTTTGTCTCCAAAAGTTTCTCCCATTATTTACATTATACTTGAATAAGTCAAACCCAAATATTTCTGGAGTTCTTTGTGCATCTGCAGGGGTATTTCATCCAGAACAAGTATTGTTATGGACATGTTCTACTTTTGACTACCACCAAAAGTTAAGAATGAAGAGAACATTTCCACATTACAATTTTCTTTCTCTTTGGAATTTCTCTATTTGAAGAAACATTTGGCCATTTTTCATTGTCATCTAAGAGCCATCACCAGAAAGCCATTTTTCTTCCACTGAATGACATTCCAATCATAAACTATTCAAATCCTGCTTGTTCTCCCTGGCTTTGAGATACTGTAGGATCATTGTGGGATCCCTATGGTTTTTCTGATATTGAATTAGCTTTCTGGACAGCTCTGCTCCTTTATATATTTTTTAAATTTTTTATTTTATTTTATACACATAAGCACATCAACAAAATGCATTAACACATTAACAAAAATAACCACATAACTTAAAAACAACATAGGAACAATAAGTTCCATCNTCACCATTTCTGCCCCTTCATTATCCCCCCCTCTTCTTCTTTCACTTCTTCTTTCACTTCCTGCTTCTCCTCAATATCTGAGTTCAAAATTCTATTTAGACTTGATTTTAATGATTTATGCATATTTTTTATAATTTCACGTAGTTCTTCAAATTCCCACCTTTCCATAATGTCCAGTTCCAAAGTTACAGTTAGCTATACAGTTCTTATTTCAGAGCTCTGATCCACCTTAAATTTAGCTAGTTCAGCTGATGTGGAGAGGAAGAGAGGCGGGAGCCATTTTGATCTTTTGCAGAAAAAAACCTTCATAATTTTCCGGCTTTTGATTTTATTATTTTTCCCCTTGTTACTTTCCATCTCTTGTTGGTTATAGTTGCTCAAAATATATTAATTGGAACAAACTCACAGCCAAACTCTGGTATGTCTCTTTTCACCTACTGCTTTTCCAAATTCTGATTTATGGCAATTGGTTAATTAAAACTTCCCACTCAGACTTTCGCATTCCATTCGCTGCACAGGCAAGATTAATTTATCAGTGAGAAAATAGTGCTTTTTTCTTGAATTTTTCCCCCTGTTACATTCTACCCCTTATTAATTGGAGTTGCTTAAGATATGTTAGTTAGAAGAAACTCGAATGATGCAAATCTCTTAGGTATGTTTTGGTTTCCATTTCAACTTCCTAGTCTCTTTTAAAAGACACAATCTTTTCAAATCCAAAACCAAATTTAGAATTTGTATTTGAGTGTGTTTGTCACTTCTCTACTTTCTCCTTTCTGTCCAAATTGTTTCAAGCAAATGACTCTTTTTGGGCTAGTGATTCAACCCTTTATTTTTCCCCTTTTTTCTTTCTTTTTGCCAAAATCCGGATCTGCCCATCAATATTATTTATATTCTCAAGGTTCTTTGCCTTTTCCAAATTCTGATTTATGATTGTGGGTTAATTAGATGTTCTTACCAGGCTTTCATCTCTTCTCCTGCACACTATTGCTCAGTTGCTTTGGCCTGAAGTCAGCTTCTTGTGCAGCCATGTTGCCATGTTGCCACCTTGACTCCAATTCAGAGAGCAAATCTTCAACCTATGAGGGACCTGTTGCACTCCCTCTGGTCTGATGAGACACTGCCCCTTCTTCAACCCCACATAGGGGGGTTCTGATCCAAAAAGGATCTTGGAATTGGTTTGTCAGACAGAGTTCATGTGAGACTCTTCAGAGCTCAAACCCCCTCATCTGTTCAGCTGGAGAACTTCCGGTCGAATCTGCTAGAGAGAAGCTCCTTGAAGAGGGGCTCCAGAACAAGTCCAAAAGCTCAGAAGACTGAACCTCTTGTCCCAGTGACTTACCCAGATTGAATCCTGCAAGATTATCCTGGGAGATGTATATTTGCCTTCATTCATGTATTAAAAGGTTTCCTGTGCAAATTGGACAAGGTTGCAGGTTACATATTAAGCTATTTATGTTATAAGCAAAGACAAATATATCTTAGCACATTATATGGTCCAAGATTAAAAAAAAGCTTGTTGTTATTAGTTGCGAAGTCATGTCCAACCCATTGCGACCCCATGGAAAGCATTCCCTCAGGCCTTCCTGTCATCTACCATTCTCTGGAATCCATTTAAGCTCACTCCTACTGCTTCAGTAACTCCATCCAGCCACCTCATTCTCTGTCATCCTATTCTTCTTTTGCCCTCAATCTTTCCCAGTATTAGGCTCTTCTCCAGTGAGTCCTTCCTTCTCATTAGGTGGCCAAATTATTTGTGTTTCCTCTTCAGGATTTGGCCTTCTAAATAGCAGTCAGGGTTGATCTCCTCTAGGACTGACAGATTTGATCACCTTGCAATCCAAGAGACTCATAGGAGTCTTCTCCAGCACCATAGTTCAAAGGTCTCAATTTTTGGGCGTTCAGCTTTTCCTATGGTCCAACCTTCATAGCCATCACAAAAAAAGCTAGGACAATCTAAAAATGAGGAAAAAAAGTGTAAGGTATGTTCACACAATTCCAATCACTATATAGTACAGCTTTCATTTCTTAAGAAAAACTAATATTGACTTACTTTGCTCCTGCTTTTCATTCATGTGAGATTGGGTAAATATGCTATGCAGCCATACTAGAATATATGCATTAACTAACTGTTACCCATTTTCAGACAACCATCAGGCATACAATTTTATTTATTTAGGTGGACTCTTCAAAACTGATTTTATCATTGGAATGGTTGAATACAAACTTAACGCTTGAATAATATTTAATATTAATAAAAATTATCTGCCTGTGCAAACCAATTTTTTATAAACAAAAATTGTGGAATGTTTGGAAGATGGAAGAATAGGTAAATGCTTCCATGAATTCTTAGATATATGATTTCTTCTCTTTTGTTCTTTTGAAAACCTCTTGTTGTGTCAATGTAGTTATTTTTGATCCTAGCGTCTAGGAATGTTGTTCTGTTCAATATATAAGAAGTCCTGTTGAGAATGGAAGTAGTAGCTGATATTAAAGAAATAGAGAGAGGAATGCAGACTTCTCCTGTGGAGATCTATGCTATCATGGGCAATGAAAATGCTAAAAAATAAAGATCAAATATAGCAAAAGGGATACCATGGGATAATATTATATTAGAAATTATGTTTACAGAGCAATACTTGGAATCTGGTTTCTTTAGTTTAAAAACTGAATTCATCATGGCAAACTTCTCAGATTTGAAAGTACAATTTGAAAATGAACGCTAAAAACCCTGGACTATTTGCTGCTGTTAGTAAATAAGATATAAGATATAAGATATAAGATATAAGATATAAGATATAAGATATAAGATATAAGATATAAGATATAAGATATAAGATATAAGATATAAGATATAAGAT